AATAGAGTAAAGCTGACCAATTTTTCAGTCAATTTTAAACCTGGCCGGAATGTAGATGAACGAAAAGCAGCATTAACCTGTCACTTGAGACACAAGCAGTTTCAGGTCTTCAACAGTTTTGAAATTTCCTCCGACAATGGAATTTCCTGGCAGCAGATCTGCAGGAACAGTTGGTTTTTCAGTTGCAAGAACAATCAGCTGCCTGAGTGCCGCCCATTTTTTATCACTGAAGTTCTCTAACTTTGTTGAAATTCTGTAAGTTCGAGGAAATTGTTAAAATGTCGTGTAGGAAATAAAACTTCGAAACTATAAAGATAAGTAATCAATGAGCAGTGATAATGAGAAACACTGATAACAGCACTCATGCCTCCTTCTGTGTCTAATGCTAAGGAATGAAACACAGACTATATATTTTCGGCTTTCTTATCATATGTGTTTACAGCTAAGGGATGAAACACAGAATGCATCGAAAAATATCACCCCACTACATCTAAAGGATAAAGATAGTTTGCACCATAAAATATCACCTTACATATGACGCCTCCGTACAATCCTGTTGGCCTACTATTTCTTATCATATGTAATGCGTTTGAAATGTACAGTAATTATGATAAGTACACGGGTCAGGAACAAGCAAGCATGGATGAGCCATGGGAGTTCTGGGGCATGGGAAAGGAAATGCGCCATCCCCTGTAGACTTATGATTTTTTTTTGTTTGACCGAGTGCATTAAAAACACCGGAATTTCAAATTCGGGGTCTGCTGTGTCCAAGGGTTTGATATCAGTCCGTATTTGGAATGAAAACACTACAAGTTGAAAGCTTATATGTGGTCCTTTTTGCGGCAAAGGCCAAAATTTTCGATTGCTGACTCCATTTTGAAATAACGAAATATGTCAAAATTCATGGCTGAGGATACAGGTCGGAAAATGAAGGACACAGAGCTGATTCCAAGTTTGCGATCGAGTGCATGTACAAAGCCTACTGTCTTATTCCGGCATCTGAGACGCCCACATGAGAGCTAATCGGAAGAGAGATCGACTAGCAAAATGGGAAGCACTACCACATGCGGGTGTCTTCGTCCGAGGAGAAGGCAACATTGATGTTAAGCTCAGTAGCATACGGATCCTCAAGGCAGTGATAATTGGTTTCTGGAACCACGGCTTTCTAACTCCTAATTTCCGAATGAAAACAGTTTTTTTTATAAACACATGTCAAAACTAACTTCTTGAAATGAACTTCTTTTAGTTTTCCAGGGATCTGCACCGCAGCTTTCAATAATCTCTCCCATTCTGCG